TATATATATATATATATATATATATATATATGTAGTGGCTCCTCAATAACTGTTTGTCAGAGCAGGTTATTTGAAAATAACAGAAATTAGTGCTCGAACCTCACTAACTTGCTTTGTTCACACCTTCACTATTGTTCCTCAAATTGCTGTCACAGTAACAGACAAAACCGTAAAAATAACCTGTCAGTCGGCGAAATAAAATGTATCCCTCTTATTTTGAGTTCCCGAAACTGTTAAGAGTGGAGAAAGTGAATGTTATGCTTTTAATCGCGCTACTGATATTTTATATCCAGGTAAGTTCTATTAACACTAATAATTAGGATAACTTTTAAACAGTGAATTCTGTAGCAAACAACTAAACAGCGTAAAATTACTAAAAATAGGAAGATTTGCGGGAAAATTTTGATTAAGTCTGAAATTTGGAAGTTTAATTAAGCCACTGCAAGTTTGAGACAATTATTGTTTAGAGAATTTAAGCAACTGCCAGGACAGTGCTGGATCATAGAGGATAACTTTAATAAATCCATGGAATTAAAGCACTGATTTGGGTTATATTTACATTTTACCAAACGTAAATACTATAGTATGAATAATTATTGACACCTAATGAAATCGCTTTCATTTTCTGTTTGCACACTAAATCCAGTCAGAACTAGGCCAAACAAGTTTATAAATGTGACTGACATAACATTGATTTAAATTTCCTACAATCGTTAAATCATGCACTCAATCATCATTGTTTTAATCAAGGATCTGTGGTTAAAATTGCTACTGATAAAACCTTTTGTCTATTTATGCAGATTGGCATTTATTAACGTTGTGTCTAAGCCTTTCAAAATTGGTTTTTATTTATTTAACTTTCTTAAATTTTTTCTAAATATGCGTTCATTTGTATGAAAAGTATCGTAATGCGTGCCAGCTATTTTTAATCAAAATGTGTCTTTTATGCCTTTTTCCTAAAATATTTATTTTAACTGTAATTTTAGGAGTTACATAAACTTATTCGAAGGTTCATCAGATACTGCTGATAACATCAATTATTGCAGTTGAATTATCCGCCGATTTACTTGCTTCTTCTTTTGCAATTGCGATGGATGATTACAAGCGTCTCAGTGAAAACCCGTTTGCCGATCCGGTAATTTGACTTATGCATGTGCTTTAGAGCGTTTGGTTACTTATTTTGTCGGATTTTGTAAAATGATCATTTTAATGCATGCTTGGACCCAATTTTTCGTTTGGCGATTTATTGGGTTATTCCAAATACAAATGACTAAAGACAAGATTAGTGTACGTTTGAAAACAATGCCACATTATATTTGAACCTGTTTACTTAGTTGTGTGATTGCATGTTTTAAACATTTGTTTGTCAGGCTTTGTTTTTGCAATTTTCATCAAATTCCTACTCACCTATTTTGCGCCATGGTTTATTTTTAATAAATGCACTAATTGTAGAACGGATTAAGTTGACGAAATTTTATGCCTCCAAAGTGCAGTTGTGTTCTAACAATCTTCACACGTCACTGCCATTTTAGAGTTTCACTAGCGTTGGTGGAAACAGCGCTTCGCGCCCACCAGTCTCTACGACTACAGTTCAAGATCAGGGCCTAGAAGGCTACAATCCGTTTGGCAAAGACGCCCCAAAAAATACAGCACCACCATATCCATCTGCCCCAGCACCGCGATTGACTACAGATGAGTTGCAACGACGGCAAGAGGAGTTGGAACGACGTGCTGCTGAGCTATCACGAAGGGAGGAAGAATATCGAAGATTAGAGGAGCAAAGTGGGGGTCCGCCGCGTACGCAGTATTTTTTTGTTCAGTAATTGTTGGGATTGATGGACATATATTTTACTTTCAGAATATTATTTGCAACTTCAATTGCAATATTTATTACTTTAAATCGTGTTCGCGTGGTTGTCTTCTGGCATGTCTAAGAAGAAAGGCTGCTGCCTATGTTGATTATATTTTTTATGCTTCTGTTATTTTTTGCCTTTTTATTATATTACATTGGTTGCTGTTCGAAAAATGCTTGGTTTGGTAATGAAATGCGGCCTACCATGATTTATTTGAGAACCATAACCGAAAAGCTCCTCAAACTGCCACTAATCTAGTGAAATGCAAGTTTCTTTGCTGTAATTTGTGACATTTTGCCAACAGATACGGGTTGTTGGCTGAAATCTCTAGTGTAGTTTTTCAGTTAACAACTATTCCTTATGTTCTAGGCTAATTGTAAGCCGAAATTGTTTCCACTCAAATTAAATTTTTTTTGAATCTGTTTACTCAATCTCCAATCATTTTAATACTGCCCATTCGATGGGAACTCAGAATATGCTTATGAAAGCACCCTGGGTGTTTTCATTTAAATCACATTTTTTGAGTCTCTCTGGTTTTAATATTTACTCATGATTTATTTAAAATGTGTCCATGTGCATTAGTTATTTTTATGCGAAGGCCGTTTTTACGTTTTAAACATTCCAGTTGCCTTCGATGAGTGCTTTTTCTAACATCGAATTGGATAATCGGTTCCTCTTCCTATTACCATTTTAGTTTCTAATTGCTGTGTTTGGCAGTTATGGGTGTATTTTTATTCCCCACTTTTCATAAACCAAATATTTTTTTATGAGTAACTTGTAATCAAAATTTTCTAGATAGTGTTTCGCTATGTGACACTGCCTGTTTTTATTTGCTGCGCCAGTTGATGCTGCCTTTTATGAGGTAAATATGCAGTATCTACATCACACGGATGACTCAGTAACGCAAATCAATTTAGTCTAAGTTGAAAGTATCATCTGATGCTGTTTACTTCTTCTTAAATAAGTTAAATAGGTTTCAAGATAATTGTCGATTGTTTTGTTAAAATAGCACTCACCTCAATCCACTTGTGTGGCATTTACTCTATTTGTATTTCCATCAGTCGTCTAAATTGCAACGCCTGTTAATTTTGCAGCCAAGCTGATTGTTGTACTCATATTCCGGTCTTTGGCTCTACTTTATTGGCTTGGTTTTGCACTATTTAGGGACGCTCCATAGTTGCTTAAGCTGGGCTGTGCGGTTTGCTTCTGTTAGAGAGGCCTGGCACAATATGATTACTTAATATGTGTTGTTTTTCGGTTGCGTTTTGGTGCTCATTTGGTGTTCCTTGTGTTTCATGTACTATCGCGTCTCTACCTAACCAGTTACTTGTTCCACATTGACATCCGCAATTTTATGCAAATGCTGGAATTTATTAACTGGGTTATTCGGAGACCTTCATGTTGGCGTAATATTTTTCGGTAGTCCCGTGGCTGCTAGAGCTAAAATACGTGTTCCCAGTTTGATTTAAAACCTGTTTAAGGAGTGTTGACAAAGTTTCAAACACACTCCAAACATCAAGTTCCTAGGTTTTTATCATATTCCAAACACGTTCTTTGTCGGTCATGATTTAATTTTACTATTTACATTTTTACTTTAAAGTGTTGGTTTTTCGAAATCATTACCAAATCTTTAATGTAATGCTAAGTTCCATGCGTATTTGTGGATCCGTAGCCATGTGATCGGGTATTTAAGTGCCTTACTTGTAACTGTTTGTAAATTACCAGGTCAGTGGACTAGGCCAATGCCACATCATACCAGATATTGCTTAATGCTTTCCCTAGGTTTTAAACACGTTTACTTTTATCTACTAAGTAGCCCTACCAACTAGTTATCACATGTTTATTTATACTTCACAGCTTTATCCTTACTTATCAGTTTGATACACATGCAATGGTCCCTCGCCTTACTGCACTCAGTTAATTTTGGGCTTTGCATTTTTGATGGGCTTTTCGATGGCTCAATCCTCTCGCTAACTCAACCTTTTGGATCTCTTAAACATTTCTACTGGTTCGGCAGAAAACGCATGCCAAATTACCGTACCATAACCCTTGAGATCGTAGCATTTGGAGCTTTGTAAGTAAATGTGACGAAATGTCGCTGAATTATGCAACTCATTGCTTCCCGAGATCTCAGCTAGCCGAGTAACTATTAAGCTTGATAATCTACTTATGTTCCTGCAGTTGTATAAGCAAATTGATCGAAGGGGTGTCTTGCTAGAGGCCGATCGATCCCCTCAACCTCGCATATTTTAGTTTAACCTCGGATCCTTGCTATGTAATTCAGCTCCGTGTCGTCTGGATGCTGATTGATATGTAAAAAAACCATGGTGTGCTTTTGTAACTCTCCTAAATTGTCGAATCCATGGAAGACTTATTCGTTTTTGCATATATTATCAATACGCCCTAGCCTAGTTACGAGCCCGTAGATCGTCGCAGCTGAGAAAATGCCCGATGATCATGACTAATACAACAATATTTCGCCTCTGGTATTATGTTATCTCTTTTTACACACCCTCTAGCAACACGCAAGAACTGGCCTCCACTACCGCGTTTCTGCCCCTGCCACCCTTGTTTCTACCAAGATATTAACGTGGAAATTAAAATGGAGTTCCGCCGACTCGTCACAATTGGATACTACATTTGGATTTCATACGCTGTCCTACTGGCCGTCAATATTCTCGGCACGGTGGTCTACCTGACCGCATCGTCCGATCCCAGTGGGGGCACACTTTTTGGTGTGTCAATTCTGATCTTCATATTATGCGTTCCTCTATCCTACATTTGCTGGTTCCGTCCTCTTTATAAAGCCTTTAAGTAAGTCCTTGTTCTTCCTGTATTTGCTTCCTCATACTTTAAACTAGTATCTAAAGTATTTGGTTAAAACCCAAATAATAGTACTCGTAAGGCAGCTGTTTGTACGTACAGACTGGTGCGTGTGTGTAGCCTCGATAAGAGTCCACTGATCTTGATGAAATAACGTTTAACATTTTGTAACAGCTATACTGACAAATCTGATCTTAATTTTCAAAAGAGCTAAACGTTTGTGGTTAATTTATGATCAGGCAGGTTCCGCATTTAGTGTGCTTCAGCTGTCTGCTTTTTTCGGGGTAATAAGTTCCACACAATGCCTAATTTGCATTCCCTCACCATGGTGTTATTGGCTTGACGGTAGTGTAAATTCTTGGCAAACAAATTTGCCTCTACGCTTTTTCGTATCTAGTTGTTATCCTCCACAACGGCTCTCCTGAACACGATCCACAAGCTATTCTGTGTGTGGGTGGGGGTGGCAGGTACATCCCAATCAAGCATATTTCAACTGGCGTTATCTTACTATTTTTGCGATATTTTAAACCCAAGAGCCGTTGGTTTGTTCGTTTAAATGAGGCACAATACTCTCACGAGTGCGCTAAAGACCTCTCCGCGCGAAATGAAACTGTTCTTTCGAGTGATCGATTTGCACTCTATTAATAAAAGCGACATGAGGAGGGAATGTTGGAGATATGTTGGAGATTTATTTAGCAGTTAGAAAGGCTTCGATAGGCAGTTAGGGAAAACGGCACATTCGTCGTGAAGACAGCCCGTCTGAAATTGCCCACCATCGGTGTGTCTGGCCTTAGTAAATTCATTTCCAGTCCTTAAAACCGCACAATCGTTGACGGTTTTTATTGTAGCACACTCACAACGCTAACATTACCGATTTAAGCGTTGTGCCCTGCAACGACTCTTTTTAGATCTGACAGTTCCATCAATTTCTTCGTGTTTTTCTTCGTGTTCTTCGCTCAATGTGTCGTCCTTCTGATACAATTTCTTGGTATAGTAAACTGGGGAACTTGGTAAGACGTCTTCTGGTTGTATTTGAAGATGACTGCGATTTTTATGCTACACACGCACGCGCACACACGGTACATCATCAGTGAGTATTTAATGTGCGTTTGTAATAAATGCGAGAGACATTTTGAGATAAAAAAAAAGGTTCTTAAGTGCTTGTCGTGTATGCTAAAAAGGTAGATTTGAGTCGCTCTTTTAATGTGAAGAATCATCCCAAACTCTGAAACACGCGTTTCAGTCAATCTATTTCTACCATACTCGAACAATGTTTGCCGAGGTGAAGGAATCGGAAATAATGCAAGCAGGGGTGTGTCCAAAGTGAGCATTTTTACGTCCTAAAATGCATGCGTTTCCCACGCTAGGTGATTTACTTGGTCACTTTCATTCCTTGTTGTTAATAACGGAGCCTTATTTTGAATTCTTTTTTTTTTCAATGTGGTTTCATAGGGGCATGAATAGTCTTGAAGCCAACTATTGTGCAATTGGCGTTTTTACAAAGAGGTGTTTTTATTCGTTTTCTAGCGGTTTGTTAGTGGGCCTGAATATAGTGAAGTCGAATCCAGGCGTCGGTGGCTTTATTCTTTTCCTGGCCTGCCTCTTCGGCTGCGAACTCGCTGCCTGCGGATACTATTTGGTGCAGGTCAGTTGCACTGCTTCAGCACGATCTGCTTCTTATTTAACTTTCACATAGAACTATATTCCATATTGTGATACAAGCTGCCATTCCAGAGGCGTTGGTCATAGTACATTGTGTGTGTGTGTGTGTGCAAAATTATCTCAAATGCGTGCGGAAGACTGGCGATTCCGAGAGACCCACTCGGGTTCCCCGCACTGACGCCTACACTTGGCATCCTATTTATGTTCACCTCGTTGTTATCATGTGACGTATTCACCCATTTACTTGGAGTTGCCTCGCACAAGCGGGGTTGGCACTGACACATTGGCTGTCAAAAGCTGGAACTGAAGTGCTTCTCGTGTTTCACCCCACAGATGCCGATGTCGTTGCCGGAGCTGTGCTTGTGTTACACTTGCTTTCCGCTTGTTACTCACTGATGAAACTTTCCACAATATTTAATGTTACTCACTGACTTCAATTGCCCATTACCCTTCCATGTAAAAAACGGACCCAACATCGTCTGCCCGATAATTTGACTAACGTGTGATGAAAGTGCTAGCAGGTGTTAAAACGACATTTGAGCAACTCGATATTGCGTAAAAAATGCTCTGGTAGACGCGTGAATCGATTGATCCAACGCCAAACACTCTTAACCACTCGATATATTATGCCTTATGATTACTATTAAAATCGGTCTTCTAAAGTGGAACTTATTTGTGTTCCTGAAGCTGATAGAAGCTCGTGCTTCTTATTGTAGGTCCATCGAACCTATCGTTCGACCGGAGCGAGTTTCGGTAAAGCACGTGAAGAATTTGCTAGTACAATGGCTTCTAACCAGATGGTCCGCAGTGCTGGGATGTCAGCGGCACGGGAGGCCTTTGTGGGACCACAGTCAGGCGACAATGCTCGTTACTGAGGTTTTCCCAATTCAACCAGTCGTCCAAACGTGGCTGCCCGATTGACATGCCTTTATCTTTCACGTTGTGGTTCATGTCATCGAAATGTTTTTCTGGCGTTATAGCCCCACGTTGTCTTGATTTCTTTGTGCGCATATTTGATTCAAAGTATCCTGCACCCCCCAGACAACTTCACTCTACTTACAAATCAGCACTACGCTCTGTCTTTTTGCTATAATCAGTGTTTTGCAGTCCTGGGCTGTAACGCCCAATTACATGAACAAGCTCGTGAGAGACTGATCCCTTGTCATTTTCAAATGTTGGTTTCCGATATGTAAAAATGGTATTGCTTGCAGTCTTCTCATTTCTTCGCCATTGGCAGCAGGCTTCAGTTTGCGTCTTGTGTATTCTCCTGTGCTGGATTTTTTTATAAACATCAATTTTCGATGGCCATACGCGTCAACTAAATACGATAGCATACCACACTTTAACCCTTAGGTTCGACGCACGAAGAGAACGACCAAATTCACGTAAAAATATTCTTCACTAACAAGCCAAATTTGGTGATATGCTGGTTCAGCTCACTGCCATAATTGATAGGATGTGTCACAGATAAATGTGCTGATGGTAGTCGCACATTCTAAACAATTTTGTCATGCCCACTTTGAATTTAAGAACAAGGGAGAGGCGACGCAAATGTTCGTAGGTTTTTTTGCAGGTATTATAGAGCATAATTTCCTTCAACACTCAAATCTTCCTAGAATGTCTAAACACATCTACCTTGGTTATTGCACGAAAGAAATCTACAGGATGTTCTCCACAGATGCGCTAATGAACTAAATCATTAATGACGAAATCTGCGTCGCAGTCGCCTGCCCAACGGGGTTCTGCTTAAATGGAAGGTAGCACTGAACCAACATTGTTAATGGCACAAACTTCCTTTTCACAACACTTCGTAAATGTTTGCCCAGTAAGTGAAGTGCACATTGGAGAAGGCGTCATGAATCAAAGCTTGTGGACGTTGGATGAAGTGGTATTATTTTAGGGATTAATAGGAAAAAGAGGAAACTTCAGTCTGGAGGTGGTGGGTGCTTCGCATGAAATGCCTGAAGCGAGTTGCAGAATTCGCCAGGGATTTGTTGGTTCGACGTGTTCATTTTACTCAGAGCCCGACAAAATTTGGCAGGACGGCTTCCGTTTGATTGGTTTTAACTGTCGGGTTATTTGAAATGCATCCGCTTATACCGATGACGGTTTGCAGTTCTAATTGTATTCAGTATTGAAAAGGAAATACCTCGATTCGAATGAAGAAGGCACTGTTGTGGGCTCCAGTATGTTGTCTTGAACCACGCCGAGGCCAGTGAGTTGGATCTGGCCCGATTACGCTATCCTGCAACCCATGATGAAGAAGAAGGCCAGAGAGGACGTGGACACAACTGCTCGTAGCTCAACCAAGTTGGGTCGTGTGTGGCGTTTGCACGTGTGTATTTATAGCTCAGATGAGTGAAACAGTGTAAGTCATACTGCGCTGACATCGAGACCTAGATAAGGGGATGATCCAACTTATTCTTTGGCACTGATGTTTGAGGACGAAAGTCGTGGTCTACCGTATTCTCAAACGTACGCAGTGCTAGTTTGCACTGCTTGCAGGCAGAAATCACGTCATTCGGTTCTCTGATCATGGGTTGCAGAAGCATTGCACAAATTACATAAATTTTGCTCAGGTTAGATGATCCACCGCTGGACTCCTCATCTTCATTCTCATTGACAATTCACGTCGTAACTCATTACCATCTTTGCCAAACATCCCAGATTCCAGTTGTCACTTATTTTCACAGTCACACTGCAACCTGTGAAACCCGGGTCGCTACACAGGTAAGAATTTTACTGACGACTTATACCAATTTGCATGTTTGGTGCCAACATCATTTCGCCGTTGGTGGGTCATCCCCCTTCTTCTGTCCTCTTAACTCGACTCCGGTTCACAACATCATCGATCGGTTGGGTGGTTGAAACGCATTAACAGTGGCGTCACGATCCCCTTCTTGAAATGCGTACTTGGAGTAGAGCCATCCTGAGACAGTAAGTACCCTCAGCATGCGCAACTCACTGCACACGCGATACAGTGGTAGTGAAGACTAGATAGCACAATAACTACGGAATAGCAAATGCAAGGCATCGACTCGTCTAAGTACCATCCACAATAACCAACAACATTTGACCAATTGCCAAATTATCACTGCATCAAACCTGCTTGAAGTTCATTCATGTCAATGCCCACCATGAAATCACCACATTCAATAAAACGGCCACAGTTTAGTCGTTGTTATTTAAATCATACAAGCAGGTAAAGATAACCACCATCACAAAGTGTAAAATGTTTACTCTTTTTTTGAATTCGAACGCTGTTTCAAAAATTCCGCTGCCTTGATTCGATCACCACGAGCTCTTTTGAGAGCCTCAGTAATCTCTTCCAGGCAATTATTGTTCGAATACAAAAGGCGGATGTTCGTTTCAATCTCGTTTGCATCGCGATCGCATACACTCGCCACCTCCCGCACCGCCCATTCCATATCGTGTTTAGGCGACCTAGTAGGAATGAAAGCAGACGCGTCAATATAGTTTGTAATGAAATGGACAATTGGCAGTTTGACAGCAATTCTGTCGCCATTAGAAACATGGGAGAAGCATTTGGCGCTGGGAGCGGTGTCGAGTACACGGACGGATTTGCTAGCAGTCGCAAGCCATCCGATTCTTCACACAGGTAGTCTCGATGTGGGTGGCAGTCACCTGCTAGATGCTCATTCATGCCAGAATTTTTAACAACACCTGTTGAATTACAAGTCATGTTAAAGTATTCTGAGTTAAATCAGAAAATTAATTACAGCATGATTTCGATGTATTTGCATTAATATGGGATTTACATCCATCAACATCCCCGTCGACACATATAATAAGCAGTAATTTTACACTAATTTCAAGAACATACGCTTGTTGATTTGGCCCACAGGCGTTTGCGCCATCCTCTAAAAGAAAAGCACATTTGATCGTGAGTTCAACTACCGTAGATTTTGCATTTTTAGTTCGAATGGACAGGTTGGGGTTAGATTTAAACTTACTAGGCATACTGTAATGCATTGAGTCACTAAAATGATAAAAGTGGTACTTCGTTTAAAGCAAATTTTCCCTTAATTACAAACAAACTTAACAGAAAAGGATGCATACAACAGAATGAATTCTACGTTAATCAAGTTGCATTTACACCATGAATACCATTGAATACATTGAATGTCCAATTCAAACAGTGCTATCCCATTTGAAACCACCGAAAAAAATCAACATTTAAGTCAGTAGTTAATTAGAATTCTTGCCAAATGACTTGCAAGTGGCCATTCGATGAGCAGTTTATGAGCAAGTTAGAAATTGCCTTCCTTCACTACGATCTTGCAGCCGTAAGCATTAGTTGCAATCACGCAGCAACGCGAGTATAGACACACTGTTGGTAATACTTGTATAACGTGCTTACATCAAACAGGGATCATTTGAAAGCATTTCAGTTGTTGCAGGTGTCAGTGCAGACAGTCAAGGAATGCTTTCCAGGGTAGTTCAACGAAAACGCACATCAAGTGACGAACTTACTTCCAATTCGGTGTCCCTGTGGGAAGGTTCTCTTCCCAAGCCGTCCACACTGGTTTGGCTTCATCTGAAGTTGTACATACCGATTATACCAAGATCGGAAAAAGGCTCAATCAAGAAATCAAACCAAAGCATTTCGTGCACACAGACGGCAACACTAGACACTTTCTCACACTGCACAATGTTCTACAACATTGCGTTTGGTCTTTCGGTTAATTCTGCATTAGCCCATTCACAATTTGACATGCTGCCATCAGTCGTGTCGCAATGCACGCCAAACTGGTGTCTCATTCTGCTCTAATGCGATTGCACGAGTCCTCTGTTCAGAAATTTTAACTCACAAGTACTGTCTTCTGAGCATTCACTGAACATGCTGGCCCCCAATTAACTACCCACGTCAAGCTACGTGAACCGCGTTATGATGGAAGGTGGATTGACGATGGGAGACGCGGCATCTTCGTGTGGATTCACAGGCAAAAGCACATGTCAACCAACTTACTGGTTCCGCCGACCCTACAACAACAATGCAAATCGCATGATGTAGTTTTGAGGGAATTAGCAAATAAGCGTATGACATGCTTTAAATTACCAAGGTTGTGGACGCACGTAGGCAAACTGAATGTTCCTGTAAACGGAGTCTTAGTAAAATAGATTTTACCGGTTGGTTTGCAGCAGCACTTCCGGGACTCTGCTTCACTGCAATGGCAAAGTGTTAGTAAGTTGCTTTTTAAAGGCAGTTAAATCATTGGTTAGGCTGTTTTCTTCTTACCTTCATTAGGCTTCCTTTCAAAACTAAATTTACACAGAAAACGCATGTCAAGCTCTCTTATCTAGCAGGCAGCACCTTGTACTGCGATCTGGAGCCTATGACTACAACACCTCTAGACACCACAAAACTCAACGAACAGATCCAAATGGCAGCACAACCAACATGCCAAATCAAAGTAGTTAAACTGATGCATCCATATGGCTGTGCGCATGCTCCGTATTGAATGCTACCGAGACGTGGAAACGTGACAGACTGATGCACACTCTACTTATTCCTATAACCCGATTTCGGAACTAATTTGGATTCTCAGTAAAAGGAAATCGATTAAATCGGGTTGTCCAGTAGATCACACCTTGTCATCGTGAGGAATCGAAAGATCGATCAATGCCTGCTCTTGTTCGGCTGTGAGTAGACCGCCTTGGGCAATGTTTTACGCTTTGTGCTTCTCGTTTACTCTGGGTGAATTCCTACTCCAGCAAGAAACCATTGGTGATAAGACAAGCATTGTGGAAAAGCTTTACTCAAAGGCCGTCTGTACACAGTCGCGTCAGTCGGAGTTGGTAGTTAAAGCCATAGCTTCGACCTTCCCTGTATTTACACGCCTACCGTCATGCGCTGTGGTGCTACTTTAAAGCAACATGTAGACTGACGTGCACATCGTAGTCTATTCTTTGCGTCATTCCTTCGTTCGATTCATTTAGACTCCACATTACTGCACTAGTCAACAATTTAAATAGATTTCACTGCCTACGCATGAACAGATAACAATGAACTTACTTTAGAGTCGGCAGCTTGAAGCCTCCGGGGGGCTAAAGTTAGTGTGCGTTAGCGTCAAATTCCTCCCACCTACTTTCCATGGAGCCGGCTGTTCGGGCTTTGCGTCATTAAGACCTCCGGCTACAAAACACAGCAGATCGACACATGGCAAACAGTCTTGGTGTTTCAAATCAACAAAAGACAACGCAATATTTGTGTTGACCACTTCACTTGTTTTGTTTTCCAGTAACTCGCTTGATTTTCGAAAAGTCGTTGTCACACTATTTGCAGTGCAGCAACTTTGATGTCAGTCATGAATTAGCCGCTGTTCTAATTCTGATTCGGTCTGATCGCCACTTACAATTTGCTCAGTGGATAAAATGCGCTCTGGTTGAAAATTACATGCTCAAACATTGACAGGTAACACGCACACGTTTTTCAACATTCCGAATTGTCTTTGTTGGTTTGCTTTTCCTGCAAATTGGTTGGTATGTGGATAACATCGTTGTTTCGTGCAATCGCAATAAAAATTGATTAACTTCAAAGCAATTCCTTCGCCAATGCTCTACTGAAATGTCATAAGTCACCACCACGTAACAGTCGCCTGCCCAAAATAGCTCTGAATAAACATAAGGCACGGCTTTACCAACATTGTGAATGACAACAATCCCAATTTTTCTAATATTCACAAAACGTTTTTTTCAGCAAATGTAGTGCAGCAAACCACACTTGTGAACACTGGGTGAGGTAGTACTAGTACATGGATGGATTACATCTGCATTGCAATCGAGGGCATGTATAATGGAATGCATTAAGAGTGTTACCGAATTTGCAGGTGATTACGTATTTAAAAATAGCCACAGACCTCGTTTTGATTGGTTACTCAGTAACTATATTTTCTGCTCCTAGGTAGATTTACAGTCCTTCTTACTCATGCTCAGAACGAGCAATAAGTTCAGTTCAAAAGACTTAAAAATATTT